TTCCCTAATGGGGAAAATCCAGTGTCTTGTTTGAATCACCTGCACTTATGGACGCCTCACCACAACCTACTGCAAAGGGTTCAACAGGAGCAGGGGCCTCAGTAAAGAAGCCCCTGTGGTAGCTCTTGTGCTCTCCACATAGCACGCACATCGTCACAATGAAGGAGCCCTACTGTCAGACCTTCCTCAGCCAATGATTATGTCCCAACTAGTGTTTTACGGGAAGGTCCCAACCACAGAGGAGACTATGAAAAGATAATATAGTCTGTAGTACAAGTTAGTATTAATGATAGACAAATGCTACCAGAGCTCACTATACTACAGTAAAACTCTATTAGTCCGGCATCCAATGCTCCGGGACTCCTGATGGTCCAGCACCATCAGGAACCCGGAAGTGCTGGGGCAGCTGGACAGGCTTCCCCCATTCAGGTGCTGCTGAAACTGACCAGCAGCTGAATCGGGGAAGCTGGGAGCAGAACAGCTGGGGTGCTGCCGGGTTGGTCTGGTAGCGCTGCCCCTTAGGGCTGCGGGACTAACCCGGCAGCACCCCAGTTGCTTTGCCCCAGGCATTGGGATTCAGCCGCTGCTGAAACTGACCAGCAGTATCAGTTTCACCAGCAGGCTGAATCCGGATGCCTGGGGCAGAGCAGCTGGGGTGCTGCCAGGTTGGTCTCGTAGTGCCACCCCTCGGCGCTGCGGGACCAATCCGGAAAATATTTTCAAAATTGTGGTATCTATCTGTCCTTCTCTGCCATGATCTAAATGGGCTAGTAAGAAAGAATAACTAATCAGGAGACTTTACCTTAGGGTGAATGCTGGTGAAACTAGAATCAACTGCTAGACAGTTTCAGCAGAGGCTGAATCGGGATGCCTGGGGCAGAGCAGCTGGGGTGCTGCCAGGTTGGTCTTGTAGCACCGCCCCTCGGCGCTGCGGGACCAACACAGAAGCACCCCAGCTGCTCTATTGCAGGCATCCCCGATTCAGCTGCTGCTGAAACTGACCAGCAGCGGCTGAATCAGGGACTCCTGGGGCAGAGCCGAACTATCGTAAGGGGGGGCTATGAGGGGTCTGGGGTGGCATCCCCTCCCACCCCACTCCAGACCCCTCATAACTCCCCCTTCTGATAATCCGGCACCCCCTGGGTCCTAAAGGTGCCGGATTATCGGAAGTTTACTGTACTTTCCTTATTACGGAGATGTGAGAATTCACTCTTTACAGAGTACGACTGTGGGAAAATAAATCATTTTTGTCATTTATTGAATATATTCATGCTTGTGTATATCCATATATCCAATATATCCATGCTTGGTCCTATAATAAAATCATATTGAAGGCCACATGTCTGCTGCAAGCAAACAAATTCTGCATAAAGTTCCTTGGTAGGGTATGTCCACACTGCAGAGTTTTTCCAGAAAAACACCCATTTTTCTGGAAAAACTACACTTATGTCCACATTGCTATTGCGTTCTTTAGACAAAGTTGGAAAACCCCCTCCGTTCTGTTTACAGCGGTAAACAAGGAAGGAGCCTTATTTGGAAAACGTGTGTGGACGTGGAAGAAAGTGTTTTTTCAAAAGAAGAGGCCTTCAGGAAAAAGCCCAGGTGCCCTGGTGGCCACTCCATCCACAGTAATCACAACTGAAATGCGAGATAGCGTCTAATCAATGTGGACGCTATCTTTCGAAAAAGCAGATAGATTTTTTTGTTGTGCTTTTGCTGTGTAGACTCTCTTTTTTGAAAAAAAGTTTTTACAGAAGATCTCTTCTGGAAAAGCTTCTTCCAAAAGAAGCTTGCAGTCTAGGCATAGCCTTAGAGGGGAAGCTCCATTTAGAATTACAAGGGAGGCTCTTAATGAAGATTAAAAGTATTAATATAATGAAATACAATAATGGTGCTCCCATTTTGCACATGCCAAAAAATTTTGTATTGACATGCAGAGCTCCACCAGAGAAGTTGCTGGGGTGCAGATGTTTGGCACCTGTGTAAACTGTGCCTTTTGATACATGTAGAGAAGTGGGATGAAATTTAAAATTATGGAATTAGAAGATAAAACTATAGTTGCATTGTACTTCCATGTGCAGGAGAACTCTTTGTACTTGTTAACTAGGTTGCAGAGCACATAGATATTGGTTAATGTACTACATATCTCTTCACCTATCTAGGACGATGTGTTTTTTTTTTTACCACTTCTATCAAGTTTAGCCTTCCCAGTTTTGTTTATACACTCTGCCATGATGCTCATCTTAATATTTCTGTACCTCACATGAATTAATATATATAGCTTCACAACATGCCTTTGAGGTTGGGAAATTCTATTACTATGTCTCAGATACTACCTGAGGCCCAGAAGCATTAAGTGATTTGCTCAAGGAGACAAAAGAACTCAGTGTCAGATCACACAAAACACCTCTCACCCTTGTCCCAGTCGAGTGTTATAACCACAGGGCCATCCTTTCCCTTACAATTGGTACATACTGTTCTCAAACCCGCAACTCTTATAACACATGCAAGGGTTGCTACAGATACTACTTCAGTGTTTACTAATTTCCAATATATATACACACAATACTTAATCTTAAATTATACCCACAAATTATACCTATCATTTTCACAAACCCATTTCTGCATATAAAACAGTCTGGCATTTCAGTCTGGAGTCTAAGGGAGTTAATCATCTAACTCTTTTTAAGCAGCTCTGAAAACCCCAGTCAGAAAACAGTATCTGAAAGATGCTACCTCTGCAAGCTGTTCCTTTGTAGAATATTGATTTGTCACTCCGATTACCATGTGTGCTAAAGAAGGTGATCCAAGATCAAACCTGGCAAAAAAGCAAAAAAATTACCAAAGATTAATTAAATGGATGATTTAATTTAAGATAAACATATGTTAAATATAGCCAACATAAGGGTCTGAGTAAAATGATCTGTGCAACTTACTTTTGTACAAGTTTATTCCAGTTTTCCTTCAAAAATGTCCATGCTAGATGATAGCCAGATGGGTTTTTAGCAACATATATAATGATATGTGGAAGATCCTGAGTTTTTACCACATCACCCAACAAACTTTGATCCATTATCCTAGAAAATCCAATGATGGAAATGGAAAGGATAACTAGACTGTTAAGTGTTAATCTGCTTGTCATCTCTGCCTATCACCTTGGCTAATCACTATAACTGTCTTACTTTCAATTCAAATTTAAGACAAAATTTGCTTGAGCAAAAAAGACTTCTGAGCCACATGCAGCACCCTAGTCCCATGAAGTTCATCATGAAAGTAAAGATTATGTCTATTTCAGGAAATCTAGAATCAGGATAATGTCTTTAACTTTAACATCTTACATTGTGGGATCTCACCATTAATGTGAATCTTTGATGTCCTGAAAAAGAGAGAAATATCACTCCCTTTTTGCAGAGAAACTGAGGTGCTATCTATATAATTTTTGAGTGCCTCTTGGTAGGAGAGAGGGAGAGGGAGAGAGAGAAATGACTTGTTCAGTTTCAGAATGCAAATTAGTGGCAGAAATGTTGGCCTTAGAATTCCTAAATGTTCCTTTCCTTCCATGATGCTAAACATGTATTGATTATAATACAGGAGAGACAACATGTATTGATTCTATCTGGAGCTCTCTAAAAATATTGAGGAACAACATTTAAGAGTCAGTCCTTCTTACATGCATAAGACATATAAAGCAATACTGCACTTACAGAAACTTTAAATACAGAAGACAATCAAGTGACTTAATAGACTCTTGTTTGTCTTTCTCCAGCTGATAGTTGAAAATGCAAATGTATATGTGTGTGTACCAGCCTCTTGTGTAGAGTTTAAAATCGCAACTTCCCATTCTTTTCTAAGGCATTTTATAATACTGTGCATTGAAGATGCTGCAAAAGTTCTCATGGCTGTAGTTCACATCTCACCCAAGTTTAATTCCTTCCTTTCCACTCCCATACAAATACTTCCTTCATAAAACAGTAAATTACTCACCACTGAAGTTTGTCCTTATTTCTGGTAATACTTAGAGCAACTTCAATCTGACTTCTGTCAGTGTTGAACCAAGGTAGCCTATATTTACTAAAAAGGAAGTCCCAACCTTCGACTGTCTGGGCTCCAACAGCATATACTGCAGTTTTAACATCACTGGGCAACCTGCAACGAATTGGACACTAGGTTAAACTCTGCTTCATATTTCCATTGTGATGATATGTGCATTCTGAGTCACCATTCCACTATATCAGTTTTACACCAAGGAACCATTCTGGTGTAATCAAATGGTGAATTAGGCCTTTAATTTTTCTTCTGTCCCTATTAGGGATTCCTAAGTGTTCCTAGAGGAGGAGCTTATTTTCAATCTACTGAAATGTCCTCGGATTTATTGTTGCTACACCTCAGTAGGAGGCACATGCTACTTTAAATCTAGGAGAAGCGAGTTCAAGTCTTATTCTAGAGGATATCTTGTTTTGCCAAGGAAGAGTTTAAGAGTAATTAATCCTTCAGAGATGCTTACATAGTGGCCCATGTCTACTTTTGATCTCTGTCAGTATCCCTCTCCCAAGGATGTGTGGCAAAATATTTTTTTTAAATTGGGCTTGTTTCATCATGTGGGCGTTTTCACTTTGGAGAGACCAGAAATATTGGTTTTACTTGATTTATGGTAAACTCTGATTTGTTAAATGAGAGGGTACAGAAACAAGACAGGTTGAATCCAAAATATTAGTGAGTAACAGGCAACCTGAAAGTATGGTGTAAAATAAAAATCCTGCAGCCCTTCTTTCTCCATTATAAAAAGCATAACAAAAGGGGCACAATTCTAACTTCTATTTTCCCTTTCACCTCTATTAAATAAAGTTCCAAAGAACAAGGTGACCTATGAACTGTAACTGAGTACACAACAGCTGTGAAGACCAGATGAAATTGAGAATCTGAATCTGTGAGATGAGAAAGTACTAAAAAAAGGTTAATATTTGGGTTCCTGAAAGTGCTGAAATTTTATTAGTAGATCAGTTCACCAGTACTAAAATCAAATGGGAAAACATTAATTCATCCTTCACCTCTACTGAATTTACTATGAAAACAGACCGTAAAGTTCCATTGGAGTCCTTCCATTTAAAAAAATATTCTTCTGCTTTGTCCACACATGGCTGGTATTTGCGCACACATGCAAACAGGAGGAGCGAACTGCGAAGCATTCTTTCAGACACTGAGCCTTCATCATTCCAGGTCTGTTTGTCAATTAGGTCTTTAAAAAGATTGACTATGTATCCCTAAATCCATAAAATAATAAAAAAGTTTTATTTAACACACTTAAGTTACAAGTGCCAACCATAGTAGTACAGGTAGTAATGCATTTGAAGAGGCTGTATTTATACTTAAATCAACATCTGAACCACTTTCCTTTGGTTAAATCCTCCAATAAATCTTCAAACCCTTGCGAATTTTTAAATATTTCTATTACACACATCTTACCAACATTTAGCTATAACTATCTTATCTATTCATTTGTTTCTTGGAAAATCGTATTCTTGTGCACTCCAACCATCAGTCATTTTAATGCATCAGTTTTAAATATAATGGGATGACAAGTGCTTTTATTGTTTATCTACTTCATCAGCTATGACCTGGATACTACAGAGACCCTTGCTGTGCTCATGTAGCTGCTATTCAATTGTCCTCTGTGCACATGCAGAAATGTGACTGGCAGCCCTCCATACAGAATCAGACCAAAACCAGCAGGGATCTCCAGGGATGTAAGGATCCGCTCATGTAAATTTGATTGTAAGATGGGGCCTACATTCCATAGGACCTACTGAATTCAACTTCCTCCTGAAACTTCAGTTCAGACTGCTATTTGAGGGGTGAATTTGGTTCAGTAAAGTTAATGCAGTCAATACTGGAACATGCAAAATAGGAAGTAATCACATCCTTCCTAAATAATATAAAGTATTCATTTAAATGTGATGCTTTAGCAAATATAATACTGAACAAGAGTAGCAGGAGTGACAAGACTGTCTTGTAGATAAGGTTCAGGTTCTATAAATCTGGACTGCGCTTATGCCTCAGTTCCCCAACTGTAAAATGGGTATAATACTTCTCTCTCCTACAATAATGCATTACAGTTTGTGAAGAGCTCATACTGCTGTGCTGCAGCCAGATACATAGATACACAGCAGAGGCAGCAACACTGGCATACCACTTGTGGTCACTGGAAGGACCACTGTACTTGGACTGTGTATTTGCTTCTCAGCTACATGCACAGAGAAAGGAGGACTGAATGGTGGCTGTATCCTTGGCAGCTGCAGGCTTTTCTAAACTGCCAGGATACTGGGACAATGGAAAAGCATTCAGCCACCAGGGAAAGGAGCTCACTCCTGGCAGCAGCTGTACTCCAGAGATTCTCAAGCTGGCAGTCAAAGTCCCATCTTCTCTTTCCCACCTTTTTATTGGTTTTACTGCAGTTGACATTTCATCTTGTCAAGTGCCTGCTCCTTCTGTTTTGTCTTATTGCCTATGCAAAAAATAAGCCTTTCTCCTCCAGTGAGAAAGAGAAATCAGGACTAATGGGGCTTCCAAGATAACCTCTGGAAGCACACTGCTTCCAGACCATAGCTCTAAACAGCACCATGATGACAACTTCCCCACCTACTCCCTGCCTTCAGCCAGGAAATGAATATAGAACGAGGGTCTGTAAAGAAAAAATATGTCTGAAAAATAAAATTTACATTTGTTTTTTACTATTTTATTTTAAAAACCTATACCACATTACTGGCTCACTACCAGTAACTGTATTTTTTAAATGTTTGCTTACAGGGTATAACTGCTATTTTAGTGTTAGCTAGTTTTAGGGGTTTTCCATCTTACCTTTAACTGATTTTCTATATCATCCATATCCCTTTTCTCCATGAGCTTGTACATAAGAATCAGCTCATCCATACCTTGAAATACAGGCATAATTTGGGATTCATGTTTCAAATACAAAGATAAATCAAGAGCTTTAGAAATTGATAGTTTTCCAATACTGAGAGAGAGAGAGAGAGAGAGAGAGAGAAAGTTAATAAATAAAATTAAATTACCTAATTTCTACTTAATTTCTTTAGAATCCTGAGGTTATCATTACACAAATGGACAAGCCTAGAAACAAACTCCTGAAAGATAATTGTGGTTGACAAATGACATAAGACATGGTATCTGATATGGTAGAGGATGAAGGTTAACTTGTATTAATGGGTTATAAGACAAAGGAGTTGTAAGGAAAGAGACTAAGAAATTAGTCTTAGTCCTGGAGAGATGGCTGATGTTCAGGGGTGGAGTGTCTGTCTTTTCTGTAGCAGTGATGATAGAATGATTGCAGTTTCCTGGAGGACAGTACTGTATGAACTAGATTGTAAAGGGAGAGATATGTTCCACCACCCACCAACTTTCCTTCTCATACATCAACAGCAATGAGGAATCACTTCCACCTTCTGCCTCCCCATATCCAAGCATGGGGAGGGGAGATTTATCTGTGCTGCAAAACAGGATGTGATGCTGGAAGTGCTAGTAATCTTTAGTTTTGCAGTAGGAGTACATTCCCAGTAAAAACGTCCCTGTCATAAGCTTAAGGGACAGATTTTAATAGGCTCCAACTCTAGATGATACCTACAAGGTCGGGACTACATTAACACACTATTAGTACCAGTAGAAAGCCCCTTGCATGGATACAATTTCTGACCATTTGTTGTGCTGCCTGGAACAGCTCTTATGTTCTCAGATTTTCTACAGTTTGTTGAGGTTACTGTTTGGTGTGACTCAAAGTAAAGTAGCATGTCATCCAAGACAACTTAGTTATATTTTGCAGAAATATTTGGAGCTTGCAAAAGAGGGTAAAGACGGGGCCTACAAATGCCCTTGAGATTCTTGACTACCATGCCAAAGACCTGACCCACAACAGGAAATGGTTCAGTACCTAAGTGGTCGCACACAGGCCTCTCCAGAGTGTAAACTGAGCTGAAGTGACAGGTTTGTGAAATATTGCCCATAAAGGATTGATTTAAGACACCAAATCTTAGGTTTAACTGAAATCCTTTTTCTAACCCTCATTTTCAAAAGGCTGCAGATCAGGGCTGCTGAAATCCCTGACATCTGTTGACAGACTAATACAGCAGTACACAGACAATCCAGGAATTTTTTGAGAAGGTTTGGGATAACTTCCTGGTATAAGTGCTGAAGGAACTGACCAGGGGCATGTGCAGCTTGACCTGCTGCTCACAAATGGAGCAATTAGTAGAGGAAGTACATGTGGGTGGAAAACTGAGAAGCAATAATCACGAGATGGTCGATTTCAGGATCCTGACCAACGGAAGAAAGGAGAGCAGCAAAATACACACCCTGGACTTCAGAAAAGCAAACTTTGACTCCCTCAGGGAACTGATGGGCAGGATCCCCCGGAATGCTAATATGAAGGGGGAATGAATCCAGGAGAGCTGCTAGTATTTTAAAGAAGCCTTATTGAAGGCACAAGAACAAACAATCCTGATGCTCAGTCAGAAAAGCAAATGTGGTAAGTGACCAGCTTGGGTTAGCAGTGAAATCCTTGATGAGTGTAAACACAAAAAGGAAGCTTACTAGAAATAGAAACTTGGACAGATGACTAGGGAAGAGTATAAATATGTTGCTTGAGCATGCAGGGATGTAATCAGGAAGGCCAAAGCACAGTTGGAATTGCAGCTAGCAAGGGATGTTAAGGAAAACAAGAAAAGTTTCTACAGGCATATTAGCAATAAGAGTGTGACCAGGGAGGGTGTGGAATCCTTACTGGATGATGTCAGCTGATGGTCAGGGCAGTGTGTGTGTGTCACACCCAAGTCTTCAACTGCTGAGACGCAAGGTCTCGTCGCAGCGGGCAGCCTAGGAGGCTGAAGGACACTCCGAGAAGTTTAACATCCGTGTCTTTACCGCTAGGACCGGGGTTCTGTCGCGGCAGGCAGCCAACAGGATGACAGACGCCCCAGAGTTTAACATCCATGTCTTTACCGTTAGGACCAGGGTCCCGTCGCGGAGGGCAGCCAACAGGCTGACAGACGCTCCAGAGTTTATAGGAAGAGCTTATTACATCTCAGATTTTAACTGCTAGGATACAGGATCCCTTCGCAGCAGGCAGCCTAGGGAAGACTGAGAGATGCCCCAATGGATCTGTCCTCTGGAAGCAACACAATCCAAATGTCCCAGCTCTTCCTACATCTGTCCCTTTTGACCAGCTGAAGTTCTTTTAAATTGTGCTTGGTTCTGTTACAGCAGCTAAAGGAGTCAGGTTAAAACTTAAACAGATACAGGTTTATTAAAAAGGCGTATAAATCATATGGTTATAATGGCGATTGCTCTATTTCTTAACTGCTAGCAAATATAGATCTTAAAAATGGTTACAAAGAAAATAAAGATAGAAAATAGAAATAATGGTACCAAGTGACAGCTTAATCTTTAAAGAGCTCTAAGTCTATGTGTACACTTAAGACAAAGGACACATCCAGGTACAATTTTTACCCCCTTCTGTGCCTCTCAACTCAAGCAGGTCAAGCCAGGGCCGGTCCCTCAATTCCTATGAAAGACGAATACGAGGTGGGCGTCCCCGTGGAACCTCAGGAGGTCAATCACCTAACCCGACCAGCAGATAGATGGTAGATTGACACTCAGAGTATGTGTGCTGCTGGACCCATCTTTATACCCATAGGGGCCCGTATCCTCTTTCTTATCTAAGATGCCAAATTGTGTTGGTTTGTCTTTGTGATGCCAGTTCTTACAAGCAAGTTTCAACTTAATTTACACTTGCAAGAGAGATAACTAAATTGTGAGTACTGGACATTCTTTACTAGGTGGGAGATTCCTCCCCCAGCGGACAGTGTGTGTTCGTATCAATATAGGTTTGAGTCAAGGGCACTCCTTGGCAGCCTCTTGGTCAGCAATTGGCATATCTCTGTTTACAGCCATTCACAGTCACAGCAGCCTGCATATCCAGGCAAGCAAAAATGGATGTTACAGGGGGGTTCCTGTCTGGCTACAGTCTATTGCAGATCACCTTCCCAGGAAGAGGAGGTGGATGAAGCTTTTTATAAGCTAGTTATAAAATCATCCAAAACACAGGAGGATGCTCTTTTTGCTTCTGTCTTCATAGACAAAGTCAGCTCCCAGGCTACTGCATTAGGCAACACAATATGGGAAGGAGGCGGACAGCTCCCAGTGGAGAAAGAACAGGTTAAGAACTATTTAGAAAAGTTGGGACATACACAAATCCATGGGGCCAGATCTAATGCATCTGAGGGTGCTGAGGGAGTTGGCAGATGTGATTGAAGAGCCATTAGTATTATCTTTGAATTACTTCATGGAGATGGGGAGAGGTCCCAGATGACTGGAAAAAGGCGAACACAGTGCCCATCTCTAAAAAAAGGGAAGAAGGACAATCCAGGGAACTACAGACCAGTCAGCCTCATCTTAGTCCCTGGAAAAATCATGGAGGGGATCCTTAAGGAATCTATTTTGACACACTTGGAAGAGGGGAAAGTGATCAGGAATAGTCAACATGGATTCACCAAGGGCAAGTCATGTCCGACCAACCAGGTTACCTTGTATGATGAAGTAACTAGCTCTGTGGACATGGGGAAGTCAGTGGATATGATACACCTTGACTTTAGCAAAGTTTCTGATACAGTCTCCCACAGTATTCTTGACAGCAAGTTAAAGAAATATAGATTAGATAAATGGACTGTAAGGTGCATAGAAAGCTGGCTAGACTGTCGGGCTCAGTGGGTAGTGATCAATGGCTCAATGGCTGGTTGGCGGTCAGTATTAAATGAAGTGCCCCAAGGGTCAGTTCTAGAGCTGATTTTGTTCAACATCTTTACTAATGACCTGGATAAGGGGATAGATTGCACCCTCAGCAAGTTTGCAGATGACACTAAGCTAGGGGGAGAGGTAAATATGTTGGAGAACAGGGATAGGCCAGAGTGATCTAGACAAATTGAAGGAGTGGCTAAAAAAAATCTAATGAGGTTCAGAAAAGACAAATGCAGAGTCCTACAGTTAGGAGGGAAGAATCCGAAGCACTGCTACATGCTGGGGATAGACTGGCTAAGCAGCAGTTTGGCAGAAAAAGACCTGGGGATTACGGTGGATGAAAAGTTGGATATAAATTGCCCTTGCAGAAAAGAAGGCTAACGGCATATTGGGATGCATCAGGAGGCGCATTGCCAGCAGATCTAGGGAAGTGATTATTTTCCTTTATTCCACACTGGTGAAGCCACATCTGAAGTACTGTATCTAATTCTGGGCTCCCCATTACAGAAAGGAGGTGAACACACTAGAGAGGCTCCAGTGGAGGACAACAAAAATTATTAGGGGGCTGGAGCATATGACCTACAAGGAAGGGATTTGGGCTTGTTTAGTCTGCAAAAGAGAAGACTGAGGGGGGATTTGACTATGTGAAGGAAGGTTCCAAAGAGGATGACAAGAGGCTGTTCTCAGTAGTGAAAGATGGCAGAACGAGGAGTAATGAGGTTTTTAAGTCTGGACTTGACAAAGCCCTGGTTGGGATGATATAGTTAGGGTTGGTCCTGCTTTGGGCAGGAGGTTGGGCTTGATGACCTCCTGAGATCTCTTCCAGTCCTATGATTCTATGAATCCATTGACTTACATAAGATCAGACAGTGTTTTGATCATAATGGTTGTATTTTCCGGTTCAGTGTATGTACTCAGTTACAGGACTCAACTGAAGTCAATGGAAGTATTCCAGATTTGCATTTCTGGAAGCAAGATCAGACTCTTATCCCACTCTTAACAACAAATTATACAAGACTAACTGTTTACTTCTTTAGTAACACACAACCTGAACTCTGTCATTTGCCTTTTTAGACTCAAACAGTGTGCCTTACCTCACAAGCTGGAATACATTGTTAATGAGACTTGCTCTATCATTGCTGCTAATTGCTGTATGGTTTTCTTTTAAAAGGCTAATGAGAGCATCCCATCCATCATCTTCATAGTGCACAATGTAATAACCATTCATTCCCACATTGAATTTTATCCATTCCACCTCTTCTGGGAGAATGAGGACGTCTGCAAACAAAACAAATCGTAACTCCATCCTCTCTTATTGATTTGAGCACTATCTAATGATAAGACCGCAATGAAATGGATAATGAGTTCAGCAATTGCAAAGTCCATTTCATACATTAAAACTGGACCAAAATAATGCTAATACAATAGTGAACACTGGTCTTGGTCTCTTTTTTCAGTGACTTAAAAGGAAGAGATATAGTTTCTTGAATACATTAAGTGATATAGCTCAGTAATCTCATTATAAAAGAGTCTGTCCATATTTCTACTACAAAACCCAATTTTTCCAGTTATAATTCAGCTGAGTTATAATTCAGCTGTTTTACATCTTATCTGCTAAAACCTGGCATTCACTTGTCCTCCTGGACCATTCTTTTTTAAAAGGTGAACTGAACTGAGATCTGCGATGACAAAAATAAAAGGTAGAACTCTTGTACTGCCAGTTTTATTGTCCTCCCAACAAAACAGATGTAGCACTACAATGGCTAAACTTTGCAAACAGTGTAGCTAGTCCTTCAAATAGACTAATCACTTCAAAGTAAGTTACCTGTTTTAGTTGTCAGCAAAAATCTTTGCACGGTGTCAGATTTACTAGTAATGTATGTCAAGGGAACATGCCACAAGTACCTATTGCCAAGCAAAAATAGTTATTTTAGTGACAGAATATTTAATTACAATAGCTCTTTTAGAGAAGGCCAACCTTCTCTAAAAGTAATGAGCTATACTGCTATGTTGGGGGAAAAGAGTCAGAAATGACTGACTCTGGAACACATGCGGGGAGTATGAGGAAGTGAGACATATGCAGACTTCATCACTTTCATGGCTGAGACAAAACCTGACCATCTTCTTGTCACAACAGTCTCAATCTCAACTTAAAATAAAACTGTTCTAGAAAGCTCAGATAAGACAATTTTATTTCTATGAACTAGTTATTATGGAGCTCAGTACAGGCAGTCCCCGGGTTACATACAAGATAGGGACTGTAGGTTAGTTCTTAAGTTGAATTTGTATGTAAGTCGGAACTGGTACATATTGTAGGGGAAACTCCAGCCAAACATTTCTCCAGAGCTCAGTTTTATTCTTCCACACTGGGCTTCCTGGAATCAGCCGATCAGTTTCAACAATGGCTGAATCTGGACGCCTGGGACAGAGCAGCTGGAAGGCTGCCAGGTAGGTCCCCGCAGCGCCGTTCATTTTAAGCGTGGATTCATAGTGCTCTGTTGAGCCTTGCTATCAGATTAATGTGGACTTTACAAAGTTCCATCAGTTTAAAATTCTGCTACTTCCAGAGGAAGTCCCTAACTTTCAAACCGTTAGAACTTTTGAAATGTTCCCCCCGTATAGAGCATACTGTGTCATGTATCTTCAAAGTGTGGTTATGTGAAAAATGACTTTAAAAATGCCACTCAGCATTTTACTCAGCAGATCTGGTTGCTAGGTATATTCACAGGATATATGTTTACTTGTGTGACCGAAATAAGTTTGCTGCTTTTTAGTCCTGTTGTCTCTGCAGGACCATCCCAAGGGTGAAGAGAGTAAGGTGGATTCTGTTCTATTGAGCATCATCAGACTTTACCTTTCTTTAAATCCATTTAAGGCAGTGGGATCCTTAGTTCCTCTGGTGGAATGTAATTAGTTCTGCAGATTCTTTAGTAATGATGGTGATATGATTGAGAAGGAAAGAACACAGCATGACTCTCCGATTCCAGGTAGAATTTGGCTAGAAGTTAATAAATCTTGTGTTGTAAACTGACAAATGGAAAATTAGGAATAATTGAGGCACAGAAAACATAGGACACAATGCTATTTTTAGAGTGACTTTTCAGAGCAGAACCACACTTGAGCAGAACTGCCCATTGATTACAATGGGGAGTTTAGATTAACACTCAATGCCATTCCATTGCTTTATGATAAAAGGTTGCCCCAGACTGTGAGCCTGCAGTGTACTATATTTAATGCAGACGGTTCCCCCCAGCACCATCTCTGTGGTGCCGTCTGCCGCCTCCCTCCCCTGCTGATAGAGGCAGCAGTGCAGTGGAGGGTTAGGGAAGGCTGCTGCGAGGCCACTATGCACAGAAGTTGCTTTGCAAAAACCTTCCCTGCTCCTTCTCTCACAGTAGCTTTTGTCCATGGGGAGCTCGGACCCCCACACACAGGGGCTGCTGCCACCCGCACTGCTGCCTCTGTATCAGAGGCAGCAGCACAGGGCGACAGGTAGCCAGTCTGTGTGGGGAACTGGTTTTCAAACTGGGTCCCACCTAGCACCCTGTGCTGCTGCCTCTGATATTGAGGCACCAGTGTGGGGTGCCAGGTGGCCAGACTGTCAGCCACAGCCCTGAGAATTCATGCGATAAGTTGACTATTCTATTACCTGTTAGCTAACATCCCTACTTCATACTGCATGAATTTTCTAATAAGCAATGACAAAAATTACATTTTGTTCCTTTTAAGAACAGCAGTTACAGTTACTACATTCAGAATAGACTGTCACTAATAATAGTCCAGTTTGCACAGACTTTGATGAAGAGCATCACTTGCTCATTTTCTATTACCCTGTTGATGAAGAAGAATCTGATCCCTTCATATAGTGCTCTTGCTGCAGATGGACGTTCTTCCCTTTTACCGTGACAGTTACTAGTGGGAAACCCTTTTGTAAAGTCCAAGTGTTCATCATTGTCTTCACATCAAGAATCTCTCTCCTGGTCCAATGCTGATTTATGAGGCAAAAACAAAATACATAAGAACAGAGCTATGATGAAATATTCTAGCAAGGAAGCAGAGATGAGCGAGTGGAAACTTCACAAGAGCTACCAACAGTTGACAATAGAAAAAACCAAATTTACAGGATCTACATAATGAAGTTTTGATTAAGGCCTGGAATATCATTACAACTCCTTCATCCTATGGTGGACAGAATAACCTTTTGATGCGTTTGATTAATACTAGTAACAGCCACTTTGTATTGGCATTGGCACCAATTGGCATTCTGTTCTTTAGGGGAGAGATTTTTGTGCCATCTCCTGGCTTTTGTTCAAGTAAGCATGTACTCAACAGATGAAATCCAAGGAAATTTTTCAATAGTAATATAAAGTCCAGGCTGTCAGCAGTAACAAATAAACTTATAGGCTGTCTACACACTGGCACCCTTTTCCGGAAATGCTTAAAACAGAACAGTTTTCCGTTATAAGTATTTCTGGAAAAAGCGCATCTACATTGGCAGGATGCTTTTCCGGAAAAAGTGCTTTTTCCGGAAAAGTGTCCGTGGCCAATGTAGACGCGCTTTTCCGGAAAAATGCCCCGATCATCATTTTCGCGATTGGGGCTTTTTTGCGGAAAAGACTACTGTGCTGTCTACACTGGCCCTTTTCCGGAATAGTTTTTCCGGAAAAGGACTTTTGCCCAAACGGGAGCAGCATAGTTTTTCCGGAAAAACACTTGACAATTTTACAGTAGATCATCATTGCTTTTCCGGAAAAGCAAGTGGCCAGTGTAGACAGCTGGCAAGTTATTCCGGAAAAGCAGCCGCTTTTCCGGAATAAGTGGCCCAGTATAGACACAGCCATAAGGTATGTCTACACAGCAAAGTTATTTCGGGATACCAGAGGTATTCCGAAATAGCTACTGCACGTCTTTTGAACACGTCCGCTATTTTAAAATATAGTGGATGCGCTATTTCGCCATCCCTGTAAAACATCATTGTATGAGGAGTACAGGGTGGCTTGAAATAGCGCAAATTGCATATCTTATTTCGAGTTTTGAATGCTGTGTACATGAGAACATAAGAACGACCGTACTGGGTCAGACCAAAGGGACAGCCGTACTGGGATGGCCCAGAACATAAGAACGACCGTACTGGGACAGCCCAGTAGCCTGTCTACCGACAGTGGCCAGCACTAGGTGCCCCAGATGTGTAGACGAACCCATATTCTACCAAGTACAGTTCCGAAACACAATTGGCTCACACTCTCAGAAGAAAAACTACTAAAATGTGATGAAAACTGAGGAATTAAATGTTAGTGTACAGTAACACAGCAGACATATAAATAGTAACAAGTAGGAAAAAAGAAACTTACTGCACTTGAGGATGTTTGTTGGTTTCTGGCACAAAAGCTATCACCTTGTAGTTGGCTTTCATCAGTGTCACCCATAGGACAAGTCTGGAAAAATTAAATTTTATTTCCCTTTAATTTCACATTTATGAACAGTTAAATATACCTTACAGTGATTATCTGTTCAGTAATATATTAGGTCAGATGGTGTTTTTTCACAAGGAGATACCTGGATCCAAAAAAAAAATCCCAAGAAATACTTGCATGTGCCAGACTATTCCATAGATCTTCATTTTTTGTATTCTGATAGCTGTACTTCCGCAGATATTGTACAAGACCAGCTTTAAACACATCTGCATTCAAGTAATCCCTTAACATGTTTAAAATACAAGCTCCCTGCAAAGGAAGTGACAAAGAATTGCAAAACTAATCTTTAGATCATAAAATATAAAGTAATACATATTTTAAAAATAATATTATTATTAACATTAGCAGTTATTTCTAAATTCATGGTGCTCTCCAATGAAAAGTATCATCTGGCATAATCTTATATGGTAACATGGTACTTTGTCTTTCATTACCACTGCTTTCAGAGGTAGCTCTGGCTAAGACAGTTAAATCTATTATTAGAATTATGACAATGCCTAGAGATTCAGGACCCATTGTGCTACACATTGTGCAATTACACAGCAAAACACAATACCTCTCCTGAAGAGCTTAAAATCTAAAAACCCTAAGACAATATTATGCTCATTTTATAGAGGGGGAACTTAGCTCACAATATACAGTAAACTTCTGATAATCCGGCACCTTTAGGACCCAGGGGGTGCCGGATTATCAGATATGCTGGACTATCGGAAGGGGGGGCTATGAGGGGTTTGGAGTGGCATCCCCTCCCACCCCAGACCCCTTATAGCTCCCCCTTCCGATAGTCCGGCAAACCTGATAATCCTGCACCCCCTGGGTCCTAAAGGTGCCGGATTATTGGAAGTTTACTGTAACCGCTTTTTAACATTCCTAGTTTGTAGTGTTCTCAGGAAGGCTCCCCAGCTTCAGAAAGATAAGCTTCTTCTAAGCCTTGTTGTTCTCTCTAATGGCTCATTGCCTTGAATGGGCCCTTCCCAGCTGACTAGACCGAGTGCCTTGTTTAGTGGGCATTCATTTGTAATACATAGTCAATATTCCTAACTTCATATCAAAATGATACATGCATATAAATAGGATAATCCTGTTCAGAAAATCATAATCTTTTCAATATCTTGCATAAAACATATTGATTACATAATCCTATCATAATAATATCAATGTGAAGAATATAGGGTGTAGCCTCACACTCTCCAGCCCCATAGTGTGTCTGTCTTTGCTTGTCAGGTTAGTCTTTCCCCGTTACTGGCAATTCATGCTTATAGCCATGACCCCTTGCTCTTGGTGCCTGAGGGAATTGGAGAGCTGCCCAAGTACAGTGTGTGTCCAGTGCAACCTCTGCCACCCCTTAACTAAGCTCCCCAGGTGGATCCTGCATCCCCAGATTGCACAGAAGCCCTCTGTTGAGCACTGCTTCCCACTGAGTGAGAGCTACGGCCTCTCCAGACCCTTTCCCCCACACCTCAGTTGCCAGGAGAGGAAAAGAGTTTTCACGTGCAGCAAGCACATCTAGTTCCATCCTAACTGTTGTGGATGGGATCTGCTTATACCAGATTCTCCTTGTCCTGCTGACTGGGTCCTGCCTTTTTCAGTGACCGTGTGAACCTGGAGAAGTCCAGGGAAGAGCTACAGCAACAGCTGAAGGCATCCGAGGAGGAGGCTTGGCGTTTGCGCCGAAGCAATACTGAGCTACAACTGTAATAACACAGATAATATCTATCTTCATTTAGAGTGAAATCCAGTGTCACCCCATGCTTGTCTATGAAACTTGCTTAAAATTAAATTCACTGAAACAAAAAAATAAGGAAAAATAGTTACATAATTTACCTTTTCATATGAAACATCATCAAACATTTCTTGAATCTGAGCTGGATCTTCCACAGGAGTTGAAACAGGATGTGAGGAATTTAATGCATCCACCTCCATGGCATTAAAACACTTGCCTAAAAAATAATCTTCCTAATAAGAGGAAAAAATGTGGCTTTTTACTGAAGGCTAATGGAATACAGATGTAATAGCAAATCTGACCGAAGATGAAAATATTTGCATTTGAAATATTTTAATTTTCTTCCATGTGACTTTCAGACGGTACAAAAAAACCATATTCTTTTTATTTCAGAACTTACAGTAACTGAAGAATCAACATAAATCTATGTATTTTAGCAATTTGTGCATCTGTTTGTGTCTCTCTGTGAGTCCACTTGTTCAACAACTCTTCCTTAGTGGTAGGAGCTACGACCACCAAATTTGGAATGCAGCTTCCTCTTACCCTAACTTAAAGCAAAGTCAGAGTTTGGTTGTGCCAGCAATACCGGAAGTTCTGGGAGTGGAACTATTTTCCATAGTATGGAAAGGGAAAGGCACAGAAAGGAGGGACTGATACTGACAGTGAGCAGTGAGCCCACTGAGAGAGCTATACTGCAAAGACCACAGAGGGCAGTCACACCACCAAAAGTGTCACCAGCAGGGCGGGAGCTCACTATCTTGCCTACCACCAGACAAGGTAAGCTGACCTCCTTCTTCCCCACATAAGATTCCTCACCCTGGGTCATCCCCTGCAACAGAGGCTGGGGCCAGGAATCATGGACAGCCCTAGACACCTGCAGGGGATGGGGGGAAGGGTGCTGGAGGCCAGGGGTAGCCCCCAGAGCCTGGCCCCAACCTGAACAGGCTGCAGACCATGGGTGGGAGGGCCGCTGGAGGCCAGAGCTGGCCCCTGGAGCCCCACCCACCCGCACAGGCTGGAGGCTGGGGTGGGTGGGGAGAGAAAGAGAGAGCTGGAGGCCCAGCCCTGGCCCCTTGGGAGGAGCCTCTGCCGAAGCAGCACTACTCTCACCAGTAAAGGCAGCTCCAGTAAGATCTCTCCCTCAACTCACCTGCAAGCCCCCTTCCCTGAGTCCTGCACTCCCTACCTTGCCTTGAGGTTCCTCTGTATGCAGCAGGCCAGGGGGTGGGAAGCGCAGGCAGGGGCTGTCCTAGCTGGGCCGACGCAGTCCCTGCTTGCAGCTGGGGGCCACTTTGAGCTGGATTGCCCTCCTTCCTTTAATTGGTTAACTGGTTAAACTTCACTTTTAACTGATTAACCAATTAAATGTGGTTTTATATCCTTAATACTGATCTTATACCTATGATAGACAGTGTTATCTTGACAAGAATACTTCTCCCATTGACATAGCTACTGCCTCTTGTGGAGGTAGATTAACAACACTAACAGGAGAAGCTCTCCTGAAGGCATAGGTAATGACTTCTTCAAGCATACAGTGGTGCAGCTGTGCTAGTGCAGTGTTGTATGTGCATACAAACCCATCTTTGTTGCAAACAGTATCATATGTACTCAGATTTGATCATTGGTATTTAGACAAAGTCATAATTTCTTTGCAATCCTTCAAAGTTGATTGCACATCTAATTACTCTACATCCATTTAAGAAACAACATCAATAAGTTATCCCCAGCCATTTCAAAATATGGTTTAAAATAAATCAGGGCAAAGTTAATTCATACTTACAACTTTCAGCTCTGGATGAGTTATACTGACGGACACATACTCCATAAACTTTGCAAATCCTTCATTTAGCCAAAGATCATTCCACCATTCCATGGTAACTAGATTTCCAAACCACTGAAAGAAAAAATATTGCTCAGAATAAAAGGTGCTATCAGCCATGTCTTAAGTTTACTAATTAATTTACTTAGTAATTCATACAGGCTGAGGACAGAGGCAGTGTGAAAGCCCTAATATAAGTTTACCAACCAATCCACCCATCAACTCTTAATTTGTTTCTATGTTGTAGGTCCTCATTCCTACCTATAGGCTTCAAAAAGCATTGAAATCAATTGCCCAAGAGGCATTTTGCTTAAACTCCTCTTATTGCTGTGTAAATGGGTATTTTAATAGTTTTCTTACTCTTTTTTCATTTTGTCATTATCTAACAGAGAACAAAGATGTGTTAAACATAATTTAATGGTCTACAATAAATGGACTTTAATTTTATTTAAGGCTCCTTTATCAAACACGGCTCTAGTTTAAAACAATGTTAAAATATATCCAAGAAATAACACTCATATGTCCACGAATTTCATTATGATCATGCAGTTAAAACATGCTGGAGAAAATAAAAAGATGAAGTCATGTTAGCTCAATAAATAATATAAAATCAAATTACAGGTGACTCAGAACTTTTTAAGTCTCAACATTTCTAATGAGTTTAACAACTTGTTTTCAGTGCATACATTTTTAACAACTCTCTAGGATGACTTGGTATCATGCCACATTGCCAATAAAACCAAAACAACTAACATTCACATCCCATGGTCTTCCCCTAGCCATTACCTGGTGAGCCAACTCATGGGCTATGATCATAGTAATCCAAAGTTTATTTGATGCTGAGGATTTTTCAGGGTCATATAGCAAAGCAGATTCCCTGTATGTAGTCAGTCCCCAGTTTTCCATTGCTCCAGACTGAAAATCAGGAATAGCAGCTAGATCTAAAAATAAATACAATTTCATTTACCTTCACTCTCCCTCATACATGCAATACAGCATCAAACACTTTTTAATTAAAATAAAGAGAATTAGTTTTCATTAGTTTCCGTAATTCAAGTTCAGACTTTATTTATTTTGAAGTTATATGAAGTATCAGACAAAAGTCAAACAATTAACTTGAAAGATGATGAGCCCAATTCTGGCTAGCAAAACACAAGATGAATGTCACAAAATCCATGACAAGTGATGAAGTACAAAGTAGAAATTGGTTAATTTGATTGCAAACCTTCTATTGTGCAAGACAGAGAAGGAGCTAGCCTAAGTAGGAAAGTATATTTCAACAGGTTTTATAACATTATATAATGTAATAAACATAATAAACACAAATTTTGTTAATACTGTAGTTTCTTTTGCCTGATATTGGACTTGAAAAACTTTCAATCAATTTAAAAAAAGAAAAGAAATCTTAATCAGTATATGGAATTATTACTGCTTACATTTTAAAGAATAAATATTTCATCCTCTTTTCTGCAGTTTTAATTTATGTATAAAACATAAGAAATTGCTTTTTCAACAAAGCAAGGTACTCCAGGATGTGTGTATTGTGTGGACATGAAACTATTTTTAAAGTGGCTGGCGTGCCTGATCTTGGATTTCACATCTAATGATGAAACTGAAATGACTCATGTTTAGTAGAAATTCAACCAAGTGTGGAGAGACTTTTCCAGGTCACCCATATAATATGAGCTCCACTGTAAGGTGTGTAGAGGTGTCTTAAGTAGAGCCGCGACAAAGTAGGAAAAGGGTTCTGACGTCACTACTGGTCACAAGTGGGAATCTCAGCCTATATAGATGTGGCTGCTATCTTAGGGCATGTCTAGACTACATCCCTCTTTCGAAAGAGGGATGTAGTCTAGACATGCCCTAAGATAGCAGCCACATCTATATAGGCTGAGATTCCCACTTGACGTTCTTTCGAAAATGAGTATTTCGAAAGTGAAACTGCCGTCTAGACGCGATTCTTTTGAAAAAAAAAACCTTTTTCTAAGATCCTGTAAACCTCATTTTTTGACAGCAGTTTCACTTTTGAAATACCCATTTTCGAATGAACGTGTGGCTGCCATTATGCAAATGAAGTGCAGGAAATTCAAATCCTGGCTTCATTTGCAATATCCATCTGTCTAATTTACATCCCTCTTTCGAAAGAGGGATGTAGTCTAGACATAACCTTAGAGAGTGATAGCAGGGACAATACAAAAGAGGGCCATATGAGCTAAGGTCACATGGATTCTGTTGCTCTAGTCCTTGACCAAGTGCACACAGACAAGGTAGCGGCATCTCATTGGCTAGAGTAATGCTTGCAGGGATGGGAACTACATTGTGACCCTACATGGTGGCCCAGATTAGAGGTTGGTTTAAACCTCAAAATGCCAGAGATTACTAAAAAAAACCTAAATGGCAGACATGTTTTCAAGTAGTATTTTTTATTAATTTCTGTACTTGAAATATCAACCAACAGTGCTAATAATGAGGCACCTTACAGTATGTTACATTATAAATATTTTCACAGGCTCTGTTATATAATGGAAACACAAAGGATCAAATGTTCCCTCCCCCAACCAAAATGACCAAGTCCATGAAAGACAATTATGGAAAAACTTAAAAAACAACAAATAGTCTGGTAGCACTTTAAAGACCAACAAAACATGTAGATGGTATCATGAGCTTTTGTGGTCATCTGAAGAAGTGGGCTGTGCCCACAAAAGCTCATGATACCATCTACATGTTTTGTTAGTCTTTCAAGTGCTACCAGACTATTTGTTGTTTTTAAGTTTATCCTGTACAGACTAACTCGGCTACTCCCTGAAAATTATGGAAAAGTCAGGAGACAATAACATCGTCTTCATTTGCTGCAAACTTGACCCTGTCTTACAAACTGTATTACATGATTTGTGTTATATTAAACAATTTAGTATGGTACTTAAATAGAATGAATGATAAAACACTTGCCTTGTTTGGGTAAGGGATATGGAATGCTGAAGTAATTCTCATAGAATTCTAAAAGTTTCACTGCTGCATCCAAGGCATAATCAGCTTGGTTGATCTTGTCTGGGACAGTATATACCGATATCTAAAATACACGAGCATGAAAGATTTCTGAATACGAATATAAGTTTACAGAATAGAAACTAATTTATTCTCTACCTTGTTTATTTTGATTATCACCAAAAAACCTGAGAGAATTAGCTGATTGAGCAAACATTTCCTAAAAGCATACTTAACATTTTGATAGTACTATTAAAAATCATAATAGTCCATATAATTACAAACCCAGTCCTTTCTTCACTTTCAATCCTTCAGCAAAGGGGTGGGCAATAAAACTGTGGTGATGCACCAGGTTTAGCCCCTGGCAGGCCACCACTGCTATATTTACCTGAACCTCTGCAGCTATGGGCAACTGCAGCTCCCATTAGCTGCAGATCACCATTCCCAGCAGATGGGAGGTGCGGGAAGTGGCATGAATCAGTACACTACTTCCCACAGCTCCCATTGGCTGGGAATGGTGATCTGCAGCCAACGAGAGATGCAATTGCAGGTAAACTGCGGACATGCAGGTAACTATAATGGTGGCAGCCTGCTAGGGGCTAACCCTGAAGAACTGGATCTGGCCCGCAGGGTGGTATTTACCCACTCCTGCTATAGCAGCTAGTACAGACATGTAAATCAAATTAACTAATTAACTGAGACCGTTAGAATTGAATCATTTGCAATTTTTAGTGTTCCTGTCACAAAGCAAGACTAGAGAATTTGAGACAGATTTACCTTAATTCCACTGGTGGTCATCTTGCTGACTGATTTAAAATCCGAAACAATAAAGGCCACTAGATAAGTGCTCATCTTTACACTAACATCAAAATGGTCTTCAACAAGCCAATCAGCAACACTGACAGATTTCACCTAAAATTACAGCACTTGTGTCACACAATAATTCTATGAACTGGAGCAACATTCAAAACAAAGTTTGTGGAGGCCTTTTAATCTTATCAATAATATTTAAAGAGTTACTGAACAAAACAAGAAAACCCATTCTTTTGTATGAACCCATTCCTATTATAACTAAAACTGAATGACAGAGAAATAATTATTTCTCTTTTTTTTTCGGTTTGCCTTATACATTTGATAGCCTCTGGCTGTCTGCTTATATAGTCAGTTGGTTTGACCCATGACTATGTAAAAGGTCCAAACAGGGAAGAGGAAAACAGTTTAAAGAGACAGTGAACACAAAATCTTTTCAAGATGACATTCAAAATTTCTAATTTCTGAAAGAGAACCCTCCATACATGGTTTTTCAAAATCTTTTTAAATGTGTTTTTTTACTGTTCCCCTATTTGTGTTTATAAGGGTATCTATCCGCAGCAAGTATGAAATTGATAATACAGAAGAAGCAGTGAAACCTACTACAGGTGACACCTTTGAAAACGAGGGATGTAAGCAACTATCCGATAAGTGTATGGTCTTACTACATTTCAAAGGTGGAAGCGCCAGAGCGGGGAGCACGGGTCCAGCGGGGGACTGTGCTCCCCGCGGCGCTTCCGCCTTTGAAATGTACCAAGAGCCAGCATGGCTCTTGATACATTTCAAAGGTGGAGGCACCCTTATTGACTAATTGAATAGTTGATACAAATTACATCGACTAGTCGATTAATCTAAATTTAACATCCTTACTGAAAACTGGTACTCTGTTCCAGCAACATCAGACCATGGATGTTCCTGGACCAGAGAGCCCAGAGCTGAATGGCAAGATGGCCAGCAGCCCCGCCGGGGCCAGGGACAGTGGGGCCAGAAGAGCCCCACAGCAGAGAAGAACCCCAGCAGCCCATGGCAGCGCGGAGCCGGGGGCTAGGGAACCCCAGGTGCCTGTGGCAGCACAGGACCAGCAGCCGTAGAAATCCGTTTGCCCATGGAAGCGCAGGGTCCAGTGCTGGAGAAGCCCACAGTGATGCGCAGCTGGAGAACCCCAACAGCCAGCAGCAGTGTGGGGTTGGCGGCAGAGGAAGCCTGGCTGCCTTGGCAGTGCAGGTCTGGAGAAATCTGGCTGCATGAGGCAGCATGGGCCAGGGGCGGAGAACTCAGCCGCCAAAGGCAGCCCAGGGTTGGGGCCAGGGCAGGTGGCAGCAGAGAGAGTAGAAGGGGCCAGAGGCAGGGATCCGGCTGACTCAGGCCCATGGCAGGGGACACTTCCAATGATCCAGCAAATTCTGTTGTTCAGGATTGGTTAGGTCCCAACCATGCTGGACCAGGGAGGTCCAATGTGTAGACACAAAAGTGTTATCCCAATGCACAAAGAGATAATTTGTTCTTACTAACAACTTTCACTTTTAGTAATATTAGATGCTACTTGTAACTATAATAAACATAACATTTGTAAACAAATGTGATTTTTCCAGTAGAGTCTGTTCCTTTAAAAAATGTGGAAGTAAAAGCAACCTTTAGCAGATGCTCAGGGTTACATTTCAGTACAAAAATGATAGGATAAGAAGCAATGGCCTTAAATTGCTGCAAGGAATGTTCAGGTTGGACATTAGGAAAAACTTCCTAAGTGTCAGGGTTAAGAACTGGAATAAATTGCATAGGGAGATTGTAGAATCTCCGTCATTGGAGATATTTAAGAGCAGGTTAGATAAACATCAATCAGAGGTGATCCAGAGGGTGTTTGGTCCTGCTGTGAGGGCAGGGGATTGGATTTGATGATCTCTCGAGGTCCCTTCCAGTTCTACTGTTCTATGATGTAGTTGCATATCTCCCTGGACAGTTAATAAATGTCACACTGCATCATGCTATTTATCCCTTCCTTCAAACTCCCTTGAATGTTAATTGTGAAAAGTCTAGATGGTACAAGTTTTATGTACAAAATTTGAAATTAAGGACTAGATCCTAAAGGGTCAACTTCCATTGCCTCCCATGTCCTCAACTTTCATGCTCAACCTGTCACAGAACTGGATGCCTAAATATCCAAAAATGAGGAGATAATGCATTTTTTTCTTTTTAATTCAGTGTCAGAACTACTAGGAATAACCATACACGAGTATCAAGGTAAAACTCAGTTACTTTTTAAAAACTAAATAACCCTAAAATGTAACATAAAAATATTCACATACTATTGGCATATTAGATAGTGCAAGATGCTTCGGATCTCTCTTAATCTTAATCGAAAATCTGGCTTTAAAGGATGGTTCATCAAAACATGGAAAAGCCATTCGAGCAGCTGTTGGCTCAAACTGTGTTGATGCAAGTACCCTGTAATTAAGCGAAGGGAAATTTTTTAAAAAAAAATCTTACATCCTAAATATGACCCAAACATTGCAGTATCAATTCAGAACACCCACCTTTCTTTTGCAAGATAAAAATAACTTGATGATCATTTTTTAACTAGATACTTATGTGGCCCCAATTTTGGTAGTATCTGAACAATTAACAATATACATTTATCAAGCCAGAAAGTAATTAATACCAGTATTACCCTCCTTTTTAAAGATGGGAAACTGAGGCAGAAGACTAAGTGACTAGTCCAAGTTCACTTGTGCAGTCTGTGGCACAGCTAAGAATTGAATCTGTTTTCCTGAATCACAAAATAGCACTCTATCCAGCCAATCACCTTTGCATCAAAATTTACAGTGGCATCAGTGGGAGTTTTGATGCATTAAAGATCACAGAATTTGATCCATAATGACAAAATCTGATTCCCTTCTGAAAGAACTGCAAGTCCCGACAAATTAAATATTTGAATATAAATATGATTTGGTGCAAACTCAGTTCTCTATTATAAAACATGAGTTTCAGTGAAGAAAGCAGTCTCTCTAAAGGAAAAAATAGAAAATCTGAATAAAATCTAAAAGCAGCAATTTAGCACTATAACATCATTCTAAACAGTCAAGTATAGTCCATACTTCAGTAACTAAAGTTAATTGAAAAGAGGTTTACCTCACTTCTCCTTCCTGGGTTCTATAGGTGCTTTTATAAAAACCATGGAAACTCTCTGACAGATTTGCAGCATATTCAATGCTAACAGTGTAGTTTTGTCCAACATGCAGTGGTTCAGCTGTCAGGAGGGCAATCTGCTCAAATGGTGGGTATTCCAAAACTCTCACTTCTTTTTCAGTGTGACTATTTCCCACTCTCTTTTGAATGGTAGCCCTGATAATTTGCAAATTCTTGCTGTGCAAAATTACTGAACTAGTTTGTTGGTATACTGTAATCTCTATTCTGGTAAATCCAGTAAATGTCAAAGTGGTAAGATTTGGATGGAGGAGAAGATCGTAATGCACTGGGATGACATGTGATGGAAGCCTTATTTTATCCCAAGGAAACTGTTTGCTTCCACTTCCAGACACTACATCAACTGTCGCCCTATTTTCGCTATTTTGGTTATTATTCACAGAAACTGCAACATTTAAAACACCTATCATCATCATTATCATCATGAAAGAGGATTTATCTGCAACTGGCAGAGTAAAGAATGAGGCTGGCATTCTTGACTTATGTTGATTTCCACATACGATAATCTAAAAGAAATATTTGTAAAACACAGTTAGTATTGAAAATTGTTAATTGTGGTAAACGTTATGGACACCATCAATGACTGCTGCCTAATATCTAGAAAACCCTCATGCTTAAATCTACATGGGCAGACCCTTGACCTGTGTGGAGCCCGAATGATTTCTGACCTGGGTCCAACAGTACGATCAGGGCTAATTTATCTTCACCTTCTGTAACCATATGTGTCTATTTCCTTTGCCTGGTGTCACAATTCTTCAATTCCTCTTAAATTAAAATGTCTTTGGAGGCAAATCTTTCAGGCTGTCACTGACCTTGAAGATCTTTAAAACCACTCATGTCTTTGTTTATAAATAAATAGGAACAAGTTTTAATTGCAATGGTATTTACTGGGAGAGAATACATAAAACTACAAAACATTATACATGAACCAAAAGCAACAACAGAAAATACAATTCTTATCCCTGGCACCCGGCCTCTGAAAGGGGCAAAAGAAGGGGATGAAGATATTGTCAGGCCCTGGATAGAAAAAGGGATCAGTGATAGGATAATTTTGCAGACTCGTACCAAGCAATTCCTTCTGGAACCTTAAACTGTGTATGAAAAATATTAATCTCCTGCAGGAATACTTGTGAGACGCTTCAGAGTGGTAGCAGAGTTAGTCTGTAACTGGAAAAACTTAAAAAACAGTGAATGGTCTAGCAGCACCTAAAAAACTAACATGTAGACGGCATCATGAGCTTGCAGATTGTACCCACGAAAGCTCCTGCTACCATCTACTTGTGAAAAGTCCATTCATGACACGAGTCTGCAATCCACACCGCTTATGATCAGGGCACGGTGCCAAACCAATGTTGTGTGGGATATGGGCTGTAAACTCCGCAGTGGGTGCCGTGCTGGGAAGCAGGTGCTGCTGGCGGCGCTCAGGTGAGCGCGCTGGGGCGCGGCGCGGCCTGGGGGAGCCATTGGGGCGCTCAGGCGGCGGTGGGAGGCCGGGGGACGCGGCGCGGCGCCTGGGAGCGGGGGCAGCACTGGGCGGGTCGCGGGCGAGGGGCGCTCCCTGGTGCGGGCGGGGCCGCGCGACCCCCGCTACGCAACGCTGCCCGGCTGCCCCTAAGTTTGGGCTGAACTATGGCTCAGCCCCCGTCCCGCTGCCGCCAGGGGGCCGGGCCTCGTGTCTCCCCGCCCCGGGAGCCCGGCCCTGAGCCGCCCGCTCCGCGAAGGCCGAGGTTGCCTGAGCGGCACCGGTACCTGCTGCCGGCCCGGCTGGATGGAGGAGCCGCCGCCTGCTGCTTCCGCGCCTTAGAGACTGAAAGCGAAAGCGGAGGAGGCCTCGGGCCTTTCCCGCCCCCAGGTTCTGTTCCGGGCGCCCTCCCGTCCCCGCCCTCCGTGAGTGGCCCCAGCGTGGAGGCCTGGGCGCCCTGTCGCAGCATTTGTCCTGTGGCACGGAGAGACAGCCGCACGGAGACGCGTGCAGCAGCCCGGGCGGGTCGGGGATGCCCAGGGCACCGCAGAAGCCTCCCCCAAGCGAAAGCAGGAGTCCGCTGTTGGGCACCCGCGGCTTTGAACGCGTGAGAGTCGAAAGCTGACCGGCATCTATAGCAGGCCCTGGCCAGGGGATTGTTTGCACTAGGGTCAGGGTTACCCGAACCCTTGGATAGGAGCCTACAGTTAACCTCACCCTGAATCGACTGGCCCTGTCGTGGCTAGTTGCAACGTTATTTTAAAAACTGGTCGCTAATACATTTAAATGAATGACCTACCGTCCTAGAGTAGAAAGGGCACCTCAGTTCCTGGGGGGAGGGGTAAGGATCACTGTTCTGTAACACTAAGAAATAATTTTGGTTTTGTAAAACTAAGAAACTATTAGGAAGCGGTAATAGTTATAACAACATGCAGCATTTATCATTTGGTTCCACCGTTAGTTCAGCTGCTTAAGGGTTTCAAAAGTGTAACCCCTAGAGAGCTGAGATAGTATATGATTTTCTGCATCCATTTTGTTCATTGTGGGATACATTGCCCCATATCCTTACCCCCAGCTGCCTAGATTCCATCTCTGGGAGCTTTGGGCCTTTCCCGCCCCCAGGTTCTGTTCTGGGTGCCCTCACATCCCCTGATCCTAGTGCATCTTTGGGAGCAGTGGCAAGATCACAGTAGGGACCTAATTCTCCTTTCTTTCATGAGCAAATGGCCAGCATCAGAGCAGAGCTGGCTAAGCATTAGGGGACGAAGTAACTTCCTTTCATTAACTGCACAGCAAGTTGTAACAAGTGAGGGATTGTAACTGAAATATGACTAGGAACAAAACACTTGTGTTTTTACTATAGTTTATAGTCCTGTTAGTTAATGCATGTTAAAACTTGATAAACAATTGTAATCTAAATAAGTCCCCTGATCAGGGGTGAAAGGAATTCAGATTTCTTACAGGTATTGTCATGTTGCAACCCGGGTCCCTGCCAGCTTTTAAAATAGCTCCCTGGTGGCTTTTGCTGTAGCTCAGTCAATTCTTGCCACAGCTACACACCAGGGATGCACTCACTTACTTCCACCACAACCCCATTTCAAAATTTCTTCCTGTGTACCTCTTGGGACACTGTAAGTATTTACTGTCTCTGACACGGCTCTGATGGCCTAATCTAGCACTCTGCTTCTGACAGATCAAGGATAATGATTCTAACAATGCCCAACATGAAAGTCTGTTATTTCTTTATAGCTTGGGGAGCCTCTTCACTCTACTCTGTATGAGGAAGTTTACTTTGGGACAGGTTTATTTAAGTAGATGCAACCCATGTGAGTGGACACTTTTAAGTTTTTAGGGTTAACTTTAAAATGTATTATCAAATTAGCATAAAAAGCAAGGAACTAATTCTAAGGCATTCCAAAACTCAAGTAAGTATCCACAGCAGAGAGTTGCACTGATTTAGTTAAATCTACTTCTAAATCAAATTAGTTAAATCAGGAAAACTTCCTTAGGTAGACAACCTTAATTTTCCCTTTTCTCTTTTGATGGAGTCAAACAGCAAACTTTTTGTATTATGCTGACTTAATTACCACTTATTAGATGCTTTAAGAAAAACATTAAATTTTTTTTAAAGGGGTGGGAAAGTAGATTAGGAGAGTGGCCTTATTATTTATGATTAAAGCTTTTGTGGTAAATTGGTCAAACATCTATTGGCTGTGGTAGTATATCACAGGCCTGCACAACATACTGCCCAAGGGCCGCATGTGGCCCAAAGGGGCACACTGTGCGGCCCGCGATGACTTTCGGAAATAACTTTTGCTCTCCTCTGCCTCGCTTCTCTCTTCTGCTCTCCTCTACTCCCCTTTTGAATGCAGCGCTCCCTTGTGCCGGCGCCTCTCCCCCTGACATCAGGGACGCATGCACACTCTGGCCCCGCCCTATGCCTGCGTGCAGCCCCAACCCCATTTCCGGTTTCTGTCCCAGGACTCGGCCCCCTTGCACGCCGCTCGGCTGGGCGGCTGCTTGTCAGAATGCCGTGCTCTCCAGGCAGCACAGGGGTCAGCGCTGTTGGAGTGTGGGGCGGGTTGTCCTTGCTGCTGTGGGGTGGCCCCGCCCTGTCACAGTTCGCCAGCTGGTAAAATTTACGCCCCGTCGATATTATAACTTGTATCAGAGTTATTTCTTCTCTTTGTGTGTGACTGTGAGTCTTTCCCTTGTGTGTGAATTTATTCAACAAAATCTTGACACGCTTTTTTTTAATTTTGCTCAACAAAAATGTTTAGTCTGCGTGTTCGGTATTTTTTGGGAGAGCATCTGGCAACCCTACTTGCAGCCCACAGCTGTTTTCTTCGGAGTAATATGGCCCTCGCTGCTTTCCGAGTTGTGCAGGCCTGGTATATTGTGTATTAAAACTACAACTGGGAAGCCTAATCTTAGCAGGAATAAGTGGTAAGTAAACCCCACTTAGTGGTAGTGTTATGAACTTAATTTTGTTGATGACAGCAGTAACTCAAACAATCATTCATTCCTTTGGAGTGTTCAGAATTGTAACAAGATGGCTTGTCTGTGATTGGAGAGTCTTGGGCTAAACCAGACCTGGTGACAGGATGAGCCACATCTGGATTGATTCAGGTGCTCCTGGGTAATATTCATCAGGAAGTTGCAGCCACTAGTGGGTTTCTTTTTATTATTATTATTCTCATGGGTGGATAGGGAAGGACAGGAACAATAAATTGGAGAGGACAATAGTGCCAAAAGAGGGAGCAAAGATAGGGGAAGAAGAAGTTCACCCCTCCCCCTCAACTAGGCTGGAAAGAGGGGTGGGAGAGTGACACTACAGATAGGAGGAAGGGGTACAGCTCCCAGCACAAGATGGTAAGACTCCCTCCACTGGAAGATGAGGGGGTAAATTATTTAAAGAACATGGGGAAAGTGAAACAGTGTGTGTGTGTGTGTAGGGGGGGTAACTAAGAAAAAAAGGGGAGACGCAGGCACCAAGCAAAGAAAAGGGGCATATGAGCATAAGAGGTTGGGGAAGCAGTGAAGAGGGAAGGCAGGTAGTGAGGAAGAGCAGGTAGTGAGTTCAAGAAACGTAGGGCAGGGATAACTAGACAGTGTGCCCACAGGCACCTAAGTGGCAGACCGATAGCACCTGCTGCAAGACCCATCAGAGTAAAAGGAGGGCGGGACAGGGGAGGCAAGCAGTAGGGACAAGAATAGGAAAAGGCCCCTGCAGCAACTGAGGCTGGGGAGGGAGCAGCAGTGTTGGTACAGCAGCAGAAATGCAGAGGTGGGGGAACCAGGAGGAGGTGAATCACCTCCTATCCCCGAGCACCCCACAAGAGCTGCACCAGCCACCACCTTGGAACCCAGATGAAAGGAGGGTCCCTTGCAAACTCCCCGTACACACACACACAACAAACTGTGGAGAAGAAGGGGGGAAAAAACCCAGGAGCATCTCTAAAGAGGGAGCAGCAGCAAGCAGTAGAGGTAAAGGTCTGGCCCTGCAGCAATGAAGGAAGGGGCTAGATAGACCCCCCCAAGAAGATGGAAAAGGGGGTTCTCCTCCCCCATCCCGCCCAGGGGCAGGGCTACAGAAGCCCCCACTCACCCTCAGATCCAGCAGCCACAATAGCTAGCTGAGGTGAGGGGGAGGAATCTGTCTGCAAACAGCAGGAAAGAGAAGGTCTGGCCCAGAATGGAGGCAGTCAAGACCACCAACCTGCCTGCCACAGCAGCTCCACCTACATACACCCCTCCTGGAGAAGAGACAGGTGCAGGGGGAGCAGAGTAAACACTGTGTGACAGGGTCAGGCAGAGGATTGCAAAAGAGTGCTCCTATTGGGGTCTGGGAGGTGGGCAGGCATTAGCCTGCCCATAGTAGTA